TGGTGGAGAGAGAGAGGGAGAGAGAATTTTCTTGTACTTTTTAGACTGTCTATTGAAAAGGCTTGTATGTTGAAAAAGTTGACTTGGAATACCATGAGAGTGATACAAATATATTAAATAGACCTGAGAAGTAAAGGCTTTTAACATAAATGAGTTGGGTCACAAACTTTATTAATTTGATTCATAGAAAATTATTAAATTATTGTTATACATCAAGAATGATATGAAATATCCTTTTATAATCCTCAAAGCCCTCAATGCTGGCTTTTGAAGGAAGGAGCAGTCTTAGTTCAACATGTTTTAAATGAGATGTGAGGGACAAACACTGCTTATAATATTTTAACTAGGTTTTTTCCCAGAGGAATGTGTCTATATTTATACAACATAACCTGTTAAATCTGTCCCAATGGTTGGAGATACAGACCACAGAAGCTTCTTTAATACACACATACACTAAGCCCAAAATGTTCTACCCTGCCATTCATGTGTAAATCAAGTATATTATTCATATACTTCATCGACTTCCTGAATGTGCGGCAAAAATGCCAAGGAAAAACTCGTTAATCGTGACATGGTGACGGCTCTGCTAGCTCTGAAATGTTGATGGAAAAGAAAAATTGTCAAAGGTCCTTTTTAAGAACCTCTGCAGGTTACACTTGCAAATCGGAATTCAGAGAACATGAAGTTCCTCGTTCAGGAAGGAAGGATTAAAATCAAACACCCTCCAGTGGTTACATCTAAAAACTGCATAGTTGTTCCAAATGGCTTGGTATAAAAGAAGTTTTCCCGTGCACTACTGAGAACCCAAGTCCTTATTCTTGCTCATTCTGATGACTGTACAATCAAAAACATCAAAATGATCTTCTATTAACTAAAATGTCTGTCATTCTGATGCTATCATCTTAGTATTTTTATGTTGTGTTATTTAAAATATCTCTGTAAACTTAGGTGACTGTTTCCTAACATCTCATGAGTGTATTACAATCCTTAATGAAATCTTGAAGTTCTGAGCTAGGAAAGACTTTTTTTATTTAAGACAAAAAAGACACAGAATAGAAAAACGAAAAGCAAAAGAGACCAACAACAACAAACCCAATGCAATAACAATATAGGTTTACAAAACAAGATGATAAGAATTTGACAATAGTTGTACTGTTGCATATTGTTAACTTCAAGAGTTGCTTAAAATAAGAGATAAATACATATAAAATTGATCTAATCATATGAATATTAACTGTTGTTTTTCAATAGCTAATACAATTAGTACTATAGTCATATTAGCTATCATGTATATGTACAGACACACAAATTCATGTCTTTGCCTTTTTTTTCTTCCTTCCTCCCTCCTTTCCCCTATCCCAATTACTTTTACTTTGAGCAGTTTCTTACTCTTACACACCCAGTATTTACTGTAGATTTTGGGTTATATATACTTTTTAAATTTCTTTTACTAGGGAGACAATACAGTATGTACACATGTGAGTTTGATTTATTCCACTTACGAGTATGGTCTCAAGTCGTGTCCCTGGTCCATTTATTTATAAAAGTCTCAGGGTAATCTTTCTTTATACAGTTATATGAACAATTTTTGAAGGTATTTCTTTTTCTTTTTTAGTATTGGATATCAAACTCACGACCTCGTTCTTGCCAGGCAGGCACTTACGCCACTAATCTAAATCCCCAGCCTGAGCTAGGAAAGTTTTAAGGTTTATGTAAGCCTTATACCTAACATTAAGCAAGACTGTTAGACTATGACACACCAAAACAACTATTTGGCTAACTGGATACATTGCATTAATTTAATTAATTTGTCAAGTAATCAAAATGAAGCCAAATGGACATGATATTGAAATACATCTTTCTTATTCTTATGCTTTTGTAGTCTCACTATCATCTACCAAACTGTCTGCTACATTCCACATTAAGCAAGTGTTACTACTGAGTATCAGGTAAAATGAATCCTCTGAGTTCCATGTGCTTTCCATTTTCCTTTCTAATGTGTATAATGGTGAAGTACTCATTTCTATTTAGGAGAAAGATCATTTGTGCCATTTTCAGACAAGAAGACTGCCATTTTCCAGTTCGTTCTTGGGGCTGATACAGTGTGCCTATTGTGGTGCTGTTAATGCAAGAAGGCAGAACATTTAGCACTACACTATGGCCTATTGAAAATGACCTGAGGGGCTGGGAATTTATCTCAGCAGCGTAAGTGCCTGCCTTGCAAGCAGGCAGTCGTGAGTTTGATCCCCGGTACTGATAAAAAGGAAAAAGACAAAAAGACAAAAAAAAAAAAAAAAAAAAAAAAGAAATGAAAGAAAGAAAGAAAATGACCTGACATATTTCTGATCCCACTTTGGTAATGACATTATACTGATGCAATTTAAGTAGTTATTGCTCTAAAATTTAATTTTACAGAATTTCTACATTGGCAAAAATGATTTTGGCAAACAAATTGAAATATATAGCAATCTAATTAATTAATTCAAAAAACTGAAGAGACTTTAATTTTTCACCAGTGATTTAAAATTATCTTCTGGATATTTTTTAACACACACACACACACACACACACACACACACACACACACACATACACACAAACACACATGATATAGAAATACATAGTAAGACCTCAATTCACAGATGCTTCCATTTGGAGCTTGCAACAAAAGCATTTGGCAAAATTTCGCTCCTGTTCACAAATTACATATTGGGTGACAAACAGGACCATAGCCATCTTCCACAAAATCAATAAATGAATTATGCTCATAAGACAAGGTACTACTATATGCTTACTCTAAGGTTTGAAATCTTTCTTATGAATTACTAACAAAATTTTTTTCAGTAAAAAGCTCCCATTCCTTGTTAAGAGAAAATGTCTTTCAAATACCATCATGTAAATATTTAAGCACTTTTCATTTTTCTTATCACTATTTACATTAAGTCCAAACTGTTAAAAAAATCAACAGGCATCTAAAATCCAATGAGCTCAGGTCTTCTGTTAGAAGACAACACGGCAAGAATATAAATGAGACATGATACCTAGGTTATAGTCTTCCTGACTAGACCAGACAGAAACAGATGGAAACTATGTCAACTTAAAAAACAGTACAAAATATAACAGAAACACAAAATGTATTAAATCGAATGGCTATATGTCATGTACTGTAGGACTAGAGTTTTATAGATTTAATAGAATAATAAAACAAGATCTGTAAAGACACTAAGACTAGCATAAAAAAAAAGCATTGCGGAGTCATGCAATTGATATCAAAGGCACAGTTTGGCTAGAGTGAAACCACTGAGTAGAGGAAATGATAGGAGACAAATTTAGGAGATAAGTCTGGCCTGGCAGCAGATTGCAGAAGTGTGAATCTAAGAATTCAGTTTTTTTCCCTGCAAGAAATAGTGGACAATTAATGGAAATATATATATATAATATTAATAGGCCTAGGGGGAAAGACATGGAAAATAAAGAAATGGTCATTATTACACAAATAAGGAAATTGGATCATACACCTGAATGATAGACATAAGAATTCAAAAAATATAAGTGTTACTCAATTTTGGAGAAAGGCACAGAAGAATAAAACATTGATGTTCCCTTGGCAATAAATCAGTATGCAATGGCAGTTCAAGTAATTAAAATAGGATAAATTACAAAAACAAAAGAGTGAAGGCACATAGAAAGAAACTTGGGGAACTCATATTTCCAGTTCTTATATTACAGGAAAAATAAAACAGTAAATATTGGTTTTATTGGTCCTTACTATGTACGTGTAAGTGTGTATAGTTAAGTATACACATAGACATACATAGATATATGTATGCCCCGAGAAAAGAGATAAACAAGCAAAACTCAGTCCTTTCTGTCTCATGCCAGCTTTGTAACTATGGTGAAATGCTGAAAATCTGAATATGCATTATTGATTAACAGACTGATTTAGAAGAATGAGAGCTAGAGCTCAGATATGATTTTCAGTTTTAGCTCTTTCATTTTCAGGCTATTCCATCTTGACTCTATCGAGGTTTTGTTTTCTCACTTTTTATGTAAATGTAATTGCATCTACTTTCTCTCAATGCCAGATTATTTTAAATAAGAAATCAAATAATTATGTGAAATCATTTATATATCGGCAAGTACTAAAAGTGCACTTTTTTTCTTTCTGTTTCCAGGTGTTTAATGTGTTCTGGATTGCAGACACCAGTTCAGTTTCTGCTCTCAATGATATTAACTGACCACATATATTCAAATAATTTACAGTAGATTTATTTGCCCTCACTTACATTTGTAAAAGTTGTTTGAGGGTAGGGACCATATATTGGGCTTTTCTGCATTTGCCTTACACTTTAGGATGTATGCACTCAAAACATTAACAATCACAAAGCATATATTCTGCCTTGAAACTGAATTTATTCTAAAAGTGCAAATATAGCTTTCAATATGTATAGCACTACTTTAGACTGGTATTTAAGTTCACAGTGACCAACACTTCTTACAAATAATTTAAATACACAGAGCATTATAGCCAACAGTCTCATATACCTTAAGTAGATCTTTTCCAGAAATCTGAGAAAAAGTAACAAGTCATAATGAATTATAAAATCAAAGGGCCAAGATTCACATTTGTGCATGGTAGTTATTGGAAGGATACGTAGAAGAACAATTACAGAAGCCAAATTTGGAACTAAAGTGTATTTAAACAGACTTATTTGAATTCTATACATTCTTTAAGGAACATAATTTTTGAATATAAGACAATATAACTTTAAAAATACTATTAAAGCACAATTTAAAAACTATATCTAAAATGTATGTGCAATGCCTTTTAAAAGTCTGTATGTTCTAAAGTCAGAATATAGCTGTGAGGAAAATTTTGAAGTGAAACAAATCTCTTGTAAGAACAACCTGCCTAAATACTTAGTTCTGATTGCTGAAGCTACCATATAACTTCCTAAAAGAAATGGAATATTTTAAATACAAAATTTGAAAGTACTTACTTCCACTTGGGATCAGATCCCTTTCTGGGATGAATAATTTGTATCCATAGTGTTTTTCCAGGACATCTGGAAGTATTTCAAGTGCAAATCGCTCTTCTTCAGGTTTGTCACAGTCTAAAGTATCTTGTTCCACTTTGGTGTAAGACAGACAGGCATCATACTCCTTGTTGTCTTAAAGAACAAAAATAGTATGAGTTGGTTCTCTTGCTTTCAGCTTCAGAATAAAAGATTTATTAAGGAAAAAGCGGCCAAATATACTTTAATGTTTTTAATTATTAAGCTTCATTAGTTGTACAATTTAGTAGGTATCACTGTGACAATTACTTACATCATTACAGCACATTGACAAAAGTCCACCCTCTTTATACCCTCTCTTAGAAGAACTTATAATTACTAAGTGGTTGAAATAAACACTATAACTACTATGTTTGATATTTGGAAAAAATAAGTCTTGTGGCACATTATAGATAATCTAAAAGCTGTATGATATGAACAAAAAGTCATGTTCCCGGCCATTTATGGTGAGGACAAAATAAAACAGACTTGTTATTTGTAAGTTTTGGCAAATTTAAACATTTGTGATATTGAATAATGTGTGCACAAGATTAGCTCAGTGTGTTTATAGATAGGAATAAAAAGACCAAAGTCAAAAATTTGAGCCATTTTGTGTAACAGTTGGCTTGACTTATTATTTTCTCACATAATAGATTATATCTGGTTTATACATATATGTGCAAGACATGCAACAAAGACCAGGGCCTCTTGTTTGGAAGAAGATGGAAATAATCCACCCTCACTCCTGACACACTACTAATAGCATGTGCCATACTTCTAGTTGGTCAATGTTGTCATCTTCATGTAAAAAATCAGTGTATTACTACATTTTAGGAGAGAAACTCGGTAAATATGACAGAAGCACACTGTCTGCCTTTCTTCTTCAATCCATTTCCAACTAATTGGACACAAGCTCCAAAAGAAGTCTTTGTTTCAAAAATATACATCCTTTCAATGTTAGCAAATTGTGCATTCTATTTACACATTTAGGGAATAGACTGCACTTTTTGAGTGTACTTTTTCCTCCTTTGCCTTAATGTCCCAAAGCCAGTCTCTCTAATCCAAAAATGTGTATGTATATGCTTTTTTTCTTCCAAAACGATAATGAACACAACTATTCAAGGTATTCATCACCCTAAGTTTTAGGAAGGACAGATTGGAAAAGTTATAGTGGTATTTTTAAAACTCCCTTATATATAGCAAAATCCTTTCAGAATTTAGTAGTGTTGGCTTCCATAGAACTAGTAATATTTATTAAAGCACAGTTATTTGAAAATAATAATTTCAAAACACTAGTAAGCATTCCAAGATATGTTTCTAACCCACATCATTATTTTTCATTAAAACATATTTGCTTAGAATATATCTGAAACCTGACACTTACCTTTATTATTAATAACTTGGTTCAACCTGCTGAATGAGGTATAAATTGTAGTGAGATAAGATATAGATACCTTACCCATGGAGTAAGTGACATCCCTGACTGTCTTGGAATATCAGAGATAGGATTTATGATGTTCCAATTCCAGTGATTAGCATCACCACATGAAAATAACTGGTTAACTCTGGTTATCTCTATTAACATGGTGTCTGAGTCCAAGAAAAAAGCTTACTCATTTTTGCATGTACTCTATTTAAAAGGCTTCCATAAACGTTATGTCGGTTACTTGATTGCCTAAAAACAGATGCACATGAAGGATTGCCCTTGAGGAAATCATTTGTCTTACAATTGGGCACATTCCACTGTTGTGCACAAAATTCTACTTGGAAGTTAGAATTTTCAAAAGCAAGGCTAGTGTACAAATGTCCCGGAAATTTTAGCACTTTCGCCCTTGTTCCAAACAGGCACAGGATGCACCTGCAATCCCTTGACTTTCTCAAGCTATAATTACTCACTCAGGACTTAGTTGCCTATGATGCACAGCTGGAAGAATAAAATAGGCCAAAGGACAAAGATCTCCATTCTCATGAGCAAACTAAAATTCATTGTTCTTGGTGAATAGTATTGTTGCCTCAAACTTTATGTCAGACTAGGACCTTGTTTGCATTGACTTTGATAACTTTCCTGTGCCGTAAACCTTCCAAAATTCAGTTACACATTGATTCATTCAACAATTGTTTGTTTATAGCATCTACCATGAGCTGGATATCTGCAATGGTTTTCTGACTATGTTACCCATTGAACCAGACCTTCTAGATTCTCACTGCATTTCTTGATTTGACTTTGATTAGTTGCCTTTGGATCATGCCTAAATTCACATAATTTTGATCTCATTACTACATGTCCATCTATGTCTTAATTGTACAGTTCAATGTTACAAAGGTTTTTCTTCTAGAAAAGTAAATTTATATTTGCATATCATAATTTAGTTATGACAAATGATATGGATGTCTTTGACATGTTAGTATCTAATGCCTGGGTAATACATATTACCTGGTATTACAGAAAAACATCATTCACTGGAATATGGTATTTTATGATTTCAATCATATACGTCTAAGGTGAACGAAGGGTGCAAAGCTTATAGGAGCTGGCCAGATTAGGAAAAGAGTTCTCATTTATCATGTCAGATGTATCAGAAAGTCTAGGATATCAGTTAGTTAGTCAGCCATGACCAAGATGCCATGATTTTAAAAGCGCTCTTATGTAGATAGCCAGGAAAATCTCATGAAGAATCACAGCTGTTGCTTACAAAAGAAGAGCAAGATGGATAGAGCAAAACAAAAACATGATACAAATAAGGTTAACTGTAAGGCTACTGGTTGTCTTAAAACCAAGAGGTGGTTCAGTGATACCACTCATCTTGGCAACAATTATGTGCCTAACAATGTGCTAAACTGGCTAAATTCATCTGATATCCAAAAATTGAGCACACACAGATTTTTAGAAGAAAGAGAAATGCCATAGTAATCACTATAGGTGCATTTTTCTTAATGAAGAGAGAACTTGGGAAGAAAAGAACCACATTATTTATGGAACAATTTTCCTGTTGTCACACATGTCATTCTGTTTTTAAATCCAATTTTGATCTTTTATCAGACATTCTTATTTATAGCCCAGATCTCCTGCAGCTACTACTAAAACTCAAAACTTATAGTTTCTATAATAAAAAGAGTGTGCAACCTTGTTGGTTATTACATACTGTACCTAGTACCTACTGTCATTCCTGCATGTACATGTGTATGTGTAGCAGATTAAAAACATAAGTAGATAAACATGCACAGTAGTAGAAACTTAACAAATATTTAATGACTGAATAAATGAAAGGTCAGATAAATGAAACCATCATTATCTGGTATGTAGAAATAGAAATGGAATAAATTTAAAAAGATTGAGTCCAAATTTCTTAGATGACTTTTATTTTATAATACATAAAATAATAAAAAAAAATTTTACAATTTTATTAGCACACGTTTGCAGTACACAATGTTTACATTCATCTTAGGGAGTAAGTACATGTTCTTAACACATTTTAATTCTTTTTATTACCATTCCCCTCATTTCCCTTCCACTCCCTGCATTCCTAGATCCCCTCCTCATTTGCAAGTGATCTACTCCCTTGTTTCATAAAACATTTATACAAGAATATGAAGAAATTGCCACTACAGATTATATAATCCAAAAGTGAACATAGAAAGTGTATGGGTAAAATTAAGTAGAATTTGCGAATTGCTAAAATATTTTAACGAAATAACAAAATATAAATTGGCAACTTATCTAGCTAACATTTGGTATCATGCCACTGAATATTTCCAAAAAGGTATTAAGATTTATTTATTTATATTCAACACATGCCTGGTGATATTTTAGTATTTCATTAAGATACACAAAGCTTGCAAAGTGGTGATCAAGATATATCGTGATTGTTTAAAATATTTATTATAGTAAAAGACACATTGCCACTCATGCTTGTCAAATAGAACTTTTGAAGTTCTATTTTTTGGGGGGGTTGTTGTTGCTGTTTTTGTTTTGTTTTGTTTGAGGCAGAGTTTCAGTGTGTAGTCCAGACTGGGCCTTGAACTCACTATGTAACCCTGTTTGGCCCCAAACTTGAAGTGATTCTCCTGTACCAGACTCCCAGGTTCTGAGATTACAGGTGTGTGCCAATACACTTGGTTTGTGAGTGTTTTTAAAATGTGATAAAAAGTATGGCGGCCACTGCTGTGCTGTTCTGTCAATTGAAAAGCAGGGCCATAAAAACATTATGGTGTGTCTTCATTCACCTTATTCACTGGATCTGGTACCATACTACTCCTGACTTTTTTTTCTAAGGTCAAAATGACCATGAAATGTAAATATTTTAGATCAATTGAAAACATGGAGGCAGCCAAGAGAGTGCTACTAAAGCCACTCAGTAAACAGGATTTTCAGAACTGCTTCAGAAAGTGACAAAAAATATAGAATAAGAGTGCTTGAAGTGAGGAGGAGAATTCTGATGGGAATTAATGACTATGTATTTTATTGTAATAATTTTTAATAATTTAAACATTTAACCATATTTCTTGATTACATATCATATATTTAAGGTTGAAGGTTCCATGTTGAAATATGAAATATTTCAGCTCTTTCTCTTATGAAAAGCCTTTGAAGGATATCCCCCATTATTGAATTCTCAACCCACACAGTGGGTTTTTAATAAATACATAGAATTCTCTAATTAGAATCTTATTTATTACTGCACAGTTCTGAAGCACATGAGGAACATTGGAGATAAACATGGAAAATGGAATATTTTATTCCTGAAAATTCAATTTAATAGCATGACTCTAATTTTATAAATATATACTACAACTAATCAGTTACTCTGGGTTATTGGGTAGAGGCGATGAAAATAATTATTGCATATTAACCTAATAAATTGAGTTAACTCTTACTGAGATTAACAAATGTCTCTAAGAGTCAAACAAATCAGAAGATTATCAGTTTTACGTCCTTTTATACAGTTAGTGCAGCACTTACCTCCCTAAGTGGATACTTTAACCAGCTTTTGGCATCTTGGAACCAGTGACATTTTCATCACTAGGGTATTTCATCTATTTTTTTTACTGTACACAGGTAAAATTTCTGGCTTTTCAGCATTAACTATTATATACAGGAACAAAATGATAATTAATCATATTTTCATAAACACTGTGGTAGTATATAATTACGGTCAGGATAGGCAATAATTTTGTACTTTGAAGATTAGTCAGAATAAAAGTCTGTAGTACTTTTAACCATGATAATATAATTGTGTAAATGCACAGTTTAAAAATGAGCCTGCCACCCATAATGATTTTATTCTTCATGGAGAATGGTACATAAATAGAACACAATTTTATGTAAACATGTACTAAAAATTACTTGTACTTATTAAGGAGAATATCTAATTTACTGTGAAAATATGAAAGTCAGTGAAAAACCACTCATACAACTAATTATGCAATTGTAACAATAAGGACAAAATGACAGATCTCTAAAAATTTTGATGTTGCATTTATCATTATAAAAATTTACAAGATCACAAAATCTTCTTTAACATAAGATCATCAAATCACAAGGATAAATTAAATCTTTAATTCTCATTATTTCAGTACAATTAAGAGTTTTAAATCTACCTTTAATTAATGATTGACAAATTTTACTTCTATTTTTAAAACTTTGGCTTACTTAAGAAACTTCATATACATGTTTCAAGGCTTACAGTATTTTAGGTGTGAGCACATTTATGTGTATAAGGAGCAGTGGGTCATTTTTTGTTACTGGCATTGCTTAGAAATATGGCAATTTGTTCTCTTAAAATAATGAAAACTTTTTCTGAATGACCAAATAAACAGGTCTCAGTACAATGCTTTTTTGATATGCTATAAAATTAGTAAATACCATAAAAATAAAAATTGGAAAATACGATATTTGTGAATTTTTGTGTTTTGATTTTGCCTTTAATAATGATGCTACAAATATGCAAAATATCTAGGTTCCTGTACTTTGAGTTTTAAATAGAATATTTTCATATATTTTAATCTATTTTTGTGGGTTTGTGTTTTATTTTTTTATTTTTTATTTTTTATTTATTTATTTATTTTTTTTTTGGTCTTTTTCGTTTTTATCGGTACCAGGGATCAAACTCACGACTGCCTGCTTGCAAGGCAGGCGCTTATGCCGCTGAGTTAAATTCCCAGCCCCTTGTATGTTTGTGTTTTTTGATGAAAACAATGGCTAAAAGTTTATACTAAAAATTGAATTTTCAAAAAAATATGGAATTTATTATTTTTTCTGTATTTTAATTCTTAAAATTTTATTAGTACTTATTTGTAGTACACAATGCACTTATTGTAGGGAGTTTGTACATGTACATAATACAGCTTTATTTTTTATGTCCGCTTCCCTTTCTCTCTTTCCCTATCCTTACAAATTTTAATGATCTTTCTTTTTCCCAATGTACTATCTACCTGTTTCCTATTATCTTTTATTTTGCTCTTTAACTACACATTGGGTGTCTCATATAAGACAAACCATTCAGAATTAATTTCACTTAACATAATGGTTTAAAGGTACACCTTTTTTCCTATAAATGACTTATGTTAATCCTTCTTTGGGCAGAATAGTACTCCATGTGTATAAATATCACATTTTCTTTATCAGTATATCTGTTGGTAGACATAAAGACAACTTCCAAGATTTAGCTGTTGTTAATTGTGCTGCGATAAATATGGGCATGAATGCATTGCTGTAATATGACATGTTTAAGTTGCTCAGGAAGATACCTAGTAATGAAGTAACTGTGTCAAATTAAATTTCTATTTTAAGTGTTTTGAGAAATATACAGATTGGAAAAAATTTTGCCAGCTATGCCAGGGTCAGAGGACTAGTATCTAGCATACATAAAGAACTCAGGGAATTAGTCCTCGATCCAAAAAATATCTGAACAAAAACAATTAGTAACTGAAATTAATAGATAATCCTCAGAAGTACAAACAGTCAATAAGTATGTGAAAAAAAGTTCAATACCTCTGAGTTTTAGAGAAATGTGAATTAAAACAATCCTGAAATCCTATCTACTCCAGAAAAAATGTCTATCATCAAGAAATCAAATAATAACTAATGCTAGTAAGGCTGAAGAGGAAAAGGTATCCTTCTTTTGAGAATGTAAACTAGTACAACCACTGTGAAAATAAATATGGAAAATTTCAAAAAATAAATTCGAAATTTATTCCTTAATTATTTCTTACCAAGAAAGATTTTCATAGAAATTGTTTTATATTCTGTCCAAGTAATGTTTCTTCATAAACTTTTACTTGGAAATAATTGCAAATCTGTAAACATTATGAGAATAAAACTATTTCAAAAAACGCACATGTCCTTTATCCAGTTCCACATATGGCTAATGCTTTTTCCTCTTTTGCCTTTCTCCATTGGTAAACTGTTTTCCTAAATAATTTGAAGCTAAGTAGTATATATTATATCCATTTCCTCCTAAATATTTCAGGAAGCATTTTATAGGAATAGGGAATTTCTGTTACAAGATCATGAATAAATATCTTCTTGTATAATTTGAACAATAGGAGATAACTTACCATCCATAGTTTCATCACTTCCAAAGTGTTGTCGATAAAAGAGCATAAGTTCAATGTTATAGCACTTATAGATGATCACCAGCAGTATAACAAGGAGAAAGATTGCTCCTAGACCTCCAGCAAGCTCAATTTTGTAGATTAAGTCTGAAACAAAGAGAATAAATAGAAAAACATAATTAAATCAGCAATTCTTGGGATGTTCCCATATTTCTGCTCTGGAAGATATATTACCGTTTCTTTTGAGAATAATCTTGCTTAATGCTTTGTCCTTGATATGATTGTATGAATTATATTTTTTTCAAATTAAGTCTTTTATAAATAGTTGAATGACATACTGCTAAAAATGATCAGTATGTCTGAAAAAGATACAATCCAAGTATATTTTGAACACATCTTTTGTTCCCCACAAATGGACTTTTGCTTTAATTGTATTTCAGGAAACTATTGAGGCTACTTTACTCTGTTTCCAGGGATATGTTACATTGTTTCTGCTAAATTTTCTTATCATTTTAGCAACATTATCATCTCATTCTTCTCAGGCTACCAGCCCTATTCTTCTACAAGAGAACACCATAAAATTACTTTAAGAATCAAATAAATCTAAGTACTTTGCAAGACTTAATGTTTCACTTAACTTCAGTAGGACACACCTAATACAACATAAGCAAGAAACATCAGCTTACCCACTTTACTATTTTTGAGAAAACTATCATATGTATATGATATAACAATAGAACTAAAAGAGAATGAGAAATTCAGAATATTTAGTAATGTTAATAATTCTATCAATTATTCTAGTTACCATGTAACCTAAAACTGAGTAAGGGAAAGAAATTCTGTTTTGCACAACATTTGCTTCTGATTTGAGTCAGCATTAATTTTTCAAGATGGGTCAATTCTGTAGCACTATCAAAATCAAGTTATTATAATAGGCTGACACTCTTAAAAACCAGATACATGAATATTCTCTGGGAATGTACGTTATCTTTATATATGACTATTATTTAAGATAAACTAAGCTCCATATAACAATTAAGATACATTTTACAATTTATAATATCATAAACATAATATATTTAAATATATTTATGCTTATATTATAGATGAAAACTTTGGTCAGTCTGTTTTCTACTTGCTAAATAATCCTAGTGTGCAGCAATTATTAATCTAAATCTCTAGATGAAGATTTTGAGACTCAGTGCCTTAAATCACTTGTTCAATGTGAAGAATATTTTTAGGTGGTATAAAAAACAGGAATTTAGTTTCAAAAATAAGGTAGAATGTGAGAGGAGATGGTAGGCAGATACAGCATATACAATAAAGAAAATCATGGAGTGAAAATACAATGTAAAAAAAATCCATTCTTTTACAGTATGGAAAGAGGGGAAAGAATGGAAAAAACAAAGAGTGGTAGTACTATTAAGGAACAAGTATGTCAAGAAGGAACATTTATGAAGGAATATGTGATGACTAGGGATAAGAAACTGAAATATGGCTCTGCCCTGCAGGCTGCAAAGTTTTGTTCTGAAATTTAAGCCACAAAATTACAGGTAAAATAGTCTCACCACAAATTAATTCTATATAGAGAACAGGAGGCAGTAAGTGGGTCCCCATCATTAAGTAAGAGGAAAAAATAAGCTTAAGAGACCTCTGTAGCAATGCTGTCATACTCTTTCTTGTTTTCTCACAACTTTACATCATAGATACCTGATTAATAAGCAGTATTATATTGAAAGTGACATAATTGCTTTGCTACTCTGAACAAAAACTCTTTAATCTTAGAGCATGATTGAATTAATTCAAACTGTTTTCCTAGTGTGTTCATTTTTCATTTTTATGCGCAAATGCTACTCTTTCTGTGTGTCTTTATTATATTACATTCTCTTTCTGTCTCTGTATCTCTGTCCCTGTCTCTCTCTCTCTGTCTCTCTCTCTCTGTCTGTCTCTGTCTCTGTCTGTCTCTCTCTCTGTCTCTCTCTCTCTCTGTCTCTCTCTGTCTCTCTCTCTGTCTCTCTCTCTGTCTCTCTGTCTCTGTCTCTCTCTGTCTCTGTCTCTCTCTCTCTCTCTCTCTCTCTCTCTCTCTCTCTCTCTCTCTCTCTCTCTCCTCTTGTCTCTCTAGTCAGAACATAATGATGACTGTTTAAAATGAAACCCTGGACCTCAACCACTGTTCTTCAACTAGGTCTGGGCAGTCACATCAAATGGAAACCTCTGTCCTACGATTAGAAAGTAGATTTACATAACCCAAATGATACCTAGTTTTTATTTTTTCTTCTGTTTTCAGTTTCCATTTACTGTTTTAGCAAGATACAGACTTATAGGGACATTGCCCAGTTGAGAATCTAATAGTCATTATATTTGTGGTGTGTCTGTATATTGCTATCAGGATAGTTGGAGCCAAAATAGTACATGTTTATGGGGTTGTAACTTTTTTTGGGCACCAAAATTACAGGTATAGTTCTTTATAGCCTTTTAGTTTTAACCCAGTTATTTCTTCATTGTGACATAAAAATCAAATATTACAGAATGTGACAAATAGCTGCAAAAGGCAAGGTAAAAAGAAGGCTGGAGCTTTTTGAGCTTGTTCCTTTGACTTACAAGACAAGAAGCAAGTTAGGAGATCTCACCTGATGTCTTCTGCTGTATTCTGAATGTTGGTGTCCTCTGAAAAAACCCAATGTTGAAAATTAACCCCAAAGTTATGATATTAAGAAATGTGACCTTTGGAATGTGATTAAGTACAAAAGCAAGCAATAAATGCCTGCTATTTATTACTTAGTATAAGGTATATTGTTAAAGAAGCTAAAAGGACTTACACAGAAATTGGTCATGAGAAGTGAAGTGTTGCTTTTATAAGCACTTAAAAATATGGAAGTGGATTTGGAACTGAGTAAGAGATAGAGGCTAAAAAATTTTTGAAGTACATTTCCATGAAAGGAAACTTTGGAGAGTCTGGTGAGGCCTCAAAAGAAAAAGAGTTCTGCAAGGAAATTCCAGTATTACTAGAGATTAACTAAGTGGTTTTGATTATGTCTGTAGAAATATAGATGGCAAAATCCATTCTGATGACTCAGATGGACATAAAGACTAAGTCCTTAGCAGATATGAATCCTGGATGCCCCTTCTAAAATTGTGAGAAGTAGTTCCTGTTATTTGTAAATTATCCAGCCTTAAGGTATATTATTAAGGGAACTGAACAACCTAAGAAATTTTCTTCCATGATTGGGGGACATCAGGACAGAGCATCAGCAATGGAAATGAAAATAAATATCCAATTATATGTTTCTGCTTTGTGGGAAACGGAGAGAAGCAAAAATAATTATTACACTTTCTTTGGCCCAAGTTTAGAGTCTAGACTTACCAAATAAAAATTTTAGGATGAATTAATTACTGAAATTTAATCGTGCTTACTGCCTAGTAGTTTATAAGAGAATAAGGAAATGGTAAGTAGAGGTTGAAGATGTATAAAGAAACAAAACCTTACCCTGTTATTTGGGTATATTGGACAAGGGTTTTTATTTTACAAAAAGCCTTTTGCAGTTTATGAAATGATTTATCATATATTTCTTCTCCATAATGGCCACTTAGGACATTTAAAATACTTGATTTAAACATCATTAAAAAGTTATTATTCCATAAACAAACCGGTTATATTTGAACATCAAGAGAGAACACTATAATCACTGAAATTGGGCTATGCTGTCTAAAAAGTCCTGCTTCCTAGTCCATGTTTAGTTTGCTCAGGTATCTGGCCTTCTTTGAAAAAAGTCTCTATCTTTCCAGGCCCTAAGGCCCATTGCATTTTCAATGCCTGACCTGGAAAGTTAACTATCTTTGTAAAAAGGAAAGGAATTTAGCTAACTCAGAGAAGACTTAAGTCAAGACAAGAACAGAGATCAAATCTCTTTGCCAATTACTTTTTTCCTTCCCCCACCTCATTGTGTAGGTCTTCTGTGAGGGCAGTTTTCAAGTAACACATATATCTGAAAACTTATTATGCTTTATGCAATAATGGTACTACAGTAAATCAAAGAAGAAATGTATCTGTTCTCAGGAGTTTATTTCCTAGTTGGAAGAGGATATAAGAAGCAAATAAATATATAATGTATTATCCATTCATAATAATAGCTACAATAAAAAGAAATAGGAGCACATAAGAGGGAAAAGGAAATAAAAAGTGATGCTATTTTACATGCAGGAGCCCAGGAAGGCCTCAGAAGAGACTTGTGTGAAGGGACAAAATGAATCCTGGGGACATCTCGACACAGGAATAGTGAGTACAAGAGATCTGAGCCAGGATTCCATTTAGCAAGCATGATAAACAGTAAGGAGGCTCGTGTTTATGATGTTTGAAACAGATCATGGTAAAAAGTGAGATCAGAAAAAAGAAGAGATTGTGTAGTGCCTTGTGCACATCATTAAGGTTTGATATATCATTCAGTTGGTGCTATGGTTCAGACTATGGTAGAAGTGAAAGTGATATAAATGGTCACAATCTGAATAGCTTTTGAAAATATAGAGAAAAAATCCTGAAAAATGACCCCAATCATTTTAGCCAGAGAAACAAAAGGATGATGATGGAGACGAAGCTGGAGATTAAAGGATCAGGTTCATAGGGAGGAAGAATTAGAAATCCTGTTTTAGACAAGCTAAGCTTGATATGCCTACTAGATTTCTATGTGGCTTTATTGAGGGGGTAAATGTGTATACAAGTTTAGAATTCAAATCCAGGCTATAGTTATAATTCTTGGTGCTGTCAGCATTTAAACAGAACAAAGCCATAGATAGAGAATGGACTTAATCACTGAGCAAATGAGTAAGGAGGCTTAAAAACTGGGGAATTATAATTTTTAAATATTATAAATATGATAAATAATATTGTTAATTATTTATGATCTTACACACATTTTCTTGTAGAGTCCCACAAAGTAGGACAGTTTTACAGCATGTCTTGATTCCTCATGTCAAGTTTCTAAAATTTAAAATTTAAAATTTATTCACCAGTTTACTTATTAAAGAGAGATGGATTTATTTTAAAACTAAAACAAGACTATTTCTGTGACTGCTGGCTCAATTATACAATTTTCATTGTTTTTTCTCATAGCAGATTTTGAATTATGACACTCTTGCAATTTTTTCTTAATATTTACTATTATCTTTCTTTGCATTATCACCTCCCCAAGAAGGACAAATTCATAAGAACTTGAGAGTGTGTATTTTACTTAGCAGCCTATTCCTCATAGCTAAATACGTTTTTTTCTGCAATAGAGTGTTTATATGTTTCCATCTATCATTTTCCTCTACATAGCAGGAAATATAGTGCTTGCTACACATAGCTCCTCAAAAATAAAAGAGAATTCAATTTATTTGAAGAGAATGTGCTCTAAGAATCTATTAGGGGACAGACACTGCTTATGAGTCTGTAATAGGAAGGAACAGTGATCTTTGCTGCAACTTGTCTTAACTTCCCTTCATGGAGGTTGACCAAGTAGTTATCTAGTACATAGGAAAAGTTATCCAACTCAAGTATAATAACAAACATTGCTTGGGCATAAAACATTTTACATACAATATTATCATCTGAACTCAACTCTGCAAGGTAAATATTATTACTTATATTTCACAGATGAGGAAATAAAAGCTCAGGGAGTCTAATTAGACAAATTGGTCTTATTGAATCCAGAGTCTAAATCACAAACTCTTGAATTGAGGTTTCAAGACTGTACTTTCCATATTATATTTAAGAGGTACAGCTAGTGACTTTGCTGACTGAATATGGTCTATTGCTTTACAGTCTAAGCAATAAGAACAATTGGAAACATTTTTCTGCTGTTTACAAAACTTTTGCCAGATGAGAGAAAGAGTATTTATGCTTTTGTAGTCATAAAGAGTCATGGCAACGTAAAATCCAGTTCAGAGGCTTCTCTAGCTGCTGAGATTGCTGTTCTTATACCTGGTTTTCTCTTTTGACTGTAAAATGTACAGATTCTTTATTTTACCCATTATATGAAATTTTTACTCTATTTAAAACTAGATTTAAAGAGAGACCTTCATTAGTGATAAATTACATAGTAATATGCATACCTGCTAGAGGCTGAACACTGGGTCATATCAGAAAATGTAGTTTATTATTGTCATTATAATAATTGTAAAAATGTTAGACTGTTATATGGTACTATAACTATTTTGTTTATTATTTAGCCAGGGTATGTTAAAGAAGTATTCTTTCTTATCTGATAATCTCTAACATTTGTTTCAAACAATTTAAGATTAAAAAACAAAAAGTGAAATATGTAGAAATGTTGAGTGTCAGTCTATAATAAATTTTGTTGTGACACTTAAAGTTATAATGAAGGATATTTTACCTTTAATGTCTTAATCTCTTTAAAACACAAAATTAAAGAGAAGACTTCACTTACCCATTTCCTAGTGGCACTGAAGATCAAAGATATTTTGTGTTATATATAGCAAGATAATTATTGCATTTTAGACAAAATACTTAACAAAATTTTCTACTAAATGAAAAACATGACCAGGAGAAATATCTAACTCTACTAGATATTGCCATTTAAATAAAATGCAGTTCCAATAAAAATAAATACCCTTTTTACGAAGCAGAACGCTGGCATGTTTCCGTCCATTTCGGTTTTCTACATGACAGGTGTAATTAGCCAGGTCAGCCTCCACCACTGAATCAAAGATGAGTGCCAATTCAACTTCTTTTTCTCCAAGATGCTCTTTGAGAAGCCTGAAATAAATACAGTATTCTTGACTGAACTGGTTTGTCTGCCTTGAGTAATAAAATAGTCATACAATTTTACAGATGGTTATAGAGCCCTGATCCCAGATTTCTAAATCGAACAAAGATGAAGGCTTCTTTATGGCATGTGCCTGTGGGGTTTACAGCAAGAAAACACAGAAAGTGGCACTTGACCTGAAGAACAAATGGAAAAAAAAAAAAAAAAAAACAGAAGCAAAGAATTCACTTAGCATAAAAAATTAATATTTCACAAGGCTTTGAAAAATGAAGCAAACATGACTTGTGTGACAAAAATGAGGAAATATTGGATTCTATGTTACAAAGTAAGTTTATGAAAACTAATTTTAATTTTGTATCATGGCATGGAACTATGGTAATAATGTATAAGGAGCATAGGTTTTTGTTAGAGGTTAGAGTTTTCACATTAATGAGGTAAATGAAGAGGGTCTTGAAAATGATGTCTGTATGAAAATAAAACAAATATTACTTGTAGTCTTCTATCCTCAAGTATCAAGCTGATTGTCTGACGCAGTAAATGCCCTGCTCCTTAATTCCACAGTGATGCTCACCCTCACCCTCAGGGCCCTGATTTCTCCTTGCTCTGCTCTACATTTGTCTTTTTGTGTCTCCTATCACAGGTGAAAACTTGCCTTCTGTGACATTTTCTCCAGTGTTGCTTTTTTGCTTTCTCAAGTGAAGTTCCAAAAGCCTTGAAAGTTTCAGAACAAGTGTTCTTGGCAGAGGAGCTGAGTTGCCAGGAATTTTTTTTTGCTGTGAGGAGGGGATGCACCTCTGTTTCTTTGAAGAGTTATCTTTTCACAAGTGACAAGTTACCTCCTGAGTGAGGCAAAAGTGGACACTCTGCTGATATTTCTGTATCCACTTGTCTTTGCAAAAGTAGGAGCAAATTAAGATTCAAGTGGTGAGAATCTTACAGTTAAATTCCAAATCATGTTCTTAAATATGTAGTGTTTTATATGTGAAATTGGGGAATCAGAAAAAAAATTACCTTTTTGTTTAGTAAGTGCAGAGAAGATTAACTGGTATCGAGCATAAATTGGAAAAGACAATTGTGCACAGAAAAAAAATGGATTCTAAGTGCACATTTCATATAAATTGAATTTGTGCCCTTACCTAGTAATCAACTTATTGTCCCCTTAATTTAACTCATCTGTAAATTGGGAAAAACAACTACAATACTTACTTGTATCTTAAAATTGCTGTCAGAGTGAAATGGACTAAAGTTAAGTATATAGCACCATATACTTGTAAAGTCATCTTATTAAATGTAAACATTTCATTATCTGTAGAGTGCTTAAATTTTATATTCTCAAAAAATATTTATATTTTATGATTGACACTTAAGATTTCCTTGGCTCAATGTATTCTGGCACCTCCAGATAAGAAAGCACTTAAATTTGAGTTGATGCAAAAGAGTTTCTAGCATCTGAAAATCTCTTGTACTGAAATCTAAAGAAAAAATATATAAAATGTATATGCTTTTAAAAATTAACCTTATTTATGCTCCCTTGCAATAATAAATATAATTAAAAAGCAATAATCTTAATCTTTTTATTTTTAATGTTTTTATTGTTTGGGATAGGGTCTTGTTCTATAATTTATGGCACCCTAGAACTCACTATTGTAGCCCAGCTTGGTCTCAAACTTGCAGCAATATTCTTGCCTAAGTCTCTTACATGCTGGGATTATAGGCATGTGCCACCATACCTAGCAGAACTGACAATCTTTTGTAGCTCAAACATCTATGGCTCAAGAAGTCTTCCCGTATCCTTTAACTGTATGTACTATTAGTGTATTAGGTAAGTATAGAAAGTTTCTTAACTGAACTTTTGACTCATTGTTAGTCTGTTAATTCTTTTTCTCTCTGTTTAAAGCTATACTTTCCTCTTTTGTCTCTTCTTTCCAAACACATGCCTAACCAAGAAACCATTTAAAATTTATTCCCTTCCTGAATTACATTAACTTTTGCTTCCTTGCTTTTCTTCCTACTACTAGTAAATTTTACTACATTCAACTGCTTTAGCTTTGTGCAATCTGCTTACTGAGGAAGAATTTCCTGTAGTTTCAGAAGTTTCTTAATTACCACAAATTCACTTTGATTTAAAGCTTTACATGGAGGATAGCCACAGGCTCTGCCAGGCACAGGGTAGAAAACTTATCCTGTTCCTCTCAACCAAGTCTTTTCCTCTGCATTTCTAAAGCAGTTTCAAAAGCAGCTTTTCATAGGCTGAAGAAAAAATGGAGATTAATTTGAAAAAGCTTTGGTTCATCTATTAATATATATGATGTGTCTTAATTATCAGTTCTTAAAAACCTAGAAATTATCTCCTTTTTTTCAAGCTAAGACATAGATTATATTGATCTACAAATCACTATGCAAAACAGTAATAATTTCCTACCAAATACAAGTGTGTAACAATCTATTAGCGATTCTTTCTTGATTCCTAGTAAGTGCCTAGCTCTGGGCTAAATATTTGAATTATGAAGTTTCTATTTCTAATGTAAAAATTAAAATGACTGGCCCATTTTCCTTTTCACATTCAAAAGTTAAATGAGAAGACAAAACTTACATATTGGGAAAAATTACAAAAGGAATTAAGCAAAGCAGTGTGACACATCAGGCTTACAAATAGAAATTCAAGTAAAGAAGAGGCCGTCTAAACTAGGAACGTCTTGAGAAACTGGATAAAGAAAAGGAAAACAGCATTTTCAGAAGAGGATCAGAATCCAAGAAGCTTGAGCCAATACCAGTAGGAACATGTAAACTGTAATTGAATGCAATGTATCAAAACACTATACGGTACCCCAATAATGTGTGTGATATTTGTGTTTTATGTATTAGTTTAAATAAATTTTAAAATATAATTAATGGAATTTTGGAGGTCCAAAATGGATGACCTTCACAGATTAAAACTCTATGCCTCATAATCTATGGAGAACTCATGCTTTCATAGGTTTTGCTTATAGCAGCACTATCAGTTCTCAGGGGTAGGTACAGATAAGGACCCCTTTATGCTTCTGGCAGACAGGGAAAGGAATTCTTTAGAAACAAGGCCAGAACACTCTGTTCTTCTAATCAAAAAGCTTTCCTTTAGGGGAATCCATCTTATCAGAACCTAAACTACTTTGGTTTTACAAAAGCCTAATCTACCTAGCAGAACAGAAATACCAAACTCCAGAGCACCCTAGACTTCTTTTATCTAAAAAGAGAGAGAAACACAAAGATAACAGTTCAGGAGCATGGGCTCCTAAAAGACTCAAAACTAATCATACACTTATGGAATGTATGCAGTTATATCAGTTAGGCTTTTGCATGGTAAGGGACTATAACTAAAACAAATGCAAAATCTAGATACTGTTTGCAAAGATAGACTAGAAAACTCTAACAGAAATAGTAGAAGCAAAAGCTAGGAAACTAGAGAAAATTTTAACTTCTGACACCTGTAAGTATAACACTGTAACACGGTCTAACTATTAGTGAGATAAACAAAAAATGTCAGTTTTTTCCAATATATTATATCTGACTTTCAAAAACAGTTAAAAGGTATGTTAAAAAGCAACAAAGTAAATTTTAAAAGCCCCTACACTTTAAAGCAATAAAGGAAGAATCTGAAGGAAACTCAGATATGACAGAGACTTTAGAATCATCAGGCAGAGAATTAAAGGTAACTATGATTTAATATGCAATGGAAGATTGGATCAAGTGCATTAACAGAAGAGTCATATATGCAGAGATGTGGAAATTCTATGAAAAAACAAAATAAATTCTATAAATTAACACACACTGCACATAAATGAAAAATGTCTTTGATGAACTCTTCAGTAGATTGGATACAGCCAAAGAAACAATTCATAAGCTTAAGTATATTAAAATAGAAACCACCTAAACTGAAATGTAAAGAGAAAAGAAATTAAAAACTATTTAATAAAATATCCAAGTACTGAGAGAAAATTACAAAAAGAGTAGAAGTAATGAAAATAGTATAAAGACTAGAAAAGAAACCTAAAATGTTTAAAATAATAATTATTTATAATTTGACAAATTCCATGATAAATACAAACTCATAGCACTAAAACACTCAAGGGATATGCACCAGGGTAAGCACTGAAAAATTCCACTAGGCATATTATACTCTAAGTGTATAACATTAAGTAAACCAAATGAAAAACACCTTCCATATCAGTGAACAAGAATAAGGTGTACACCATACTTCACTTTATAAAACAATATAGCAAGAAGAGGATGGTGCAAAAATAATATTGAAAGAAAAAAAGGAATACTAACCTGGAATGCTATATCTACCTACATTATCCTTCCAAAATGAACGTAAAATAAAACCCTTAGACCAACAAAAATCCAGGGCATATGCCAAGTATAGAACATGAAAATGTTGGAGAATTTCAGAGAAAAAAATTGAGTATGTCAGAAATTTAGATCTACATAAAAGAAGTGTGTTAAATAAAGTTTAAATGAAAATAAAATATTTTTCATTAGATCTAACAACAAATAGTTTAAAATAATAGTCGACATTTTTTTTTCTTATACCTAATAGATACAACTAATGGCAGCAGTGTTACAAGGAACAGAATGGAGGAATAGAAAATACTTTGTTATAAATTATAAGCATTAACTCTGAAGGAGTGTGGTTGTTATGGTTTATATCATTACTGAATCCCTAACTCTTATGCACTCAGAGGTGGGCCTTTCGGGAGCTGACTGGATCATAGGGCACTATAGCTAACTTGCTTTTAGAGATGGGGCCTGGTTAGTGGCAAGTATTGATGAGTAAGATGTGGAAGGATGTGCCTCCCTTGTGGGTTCTTTCCTTGTCTCTGTACTCCCTGACTTTCATGATTTTAGCAGTTCTACTCCACCAGATACTTCCACCGTGCCCTTCCTGCCTTGGAACTTGCCGACTATGGTTGAACTGAAATTTCTAAAACTGTGAGGCAACATAAATATTTCC